CTCTCACGTGTATCCCAATGTATTACTTCAAAATGATTTGATAATAATGTCAATGAAATCTATCAAACGTTCATCCCTCTGCCTCAATAACAAATAACAATAACAACGTTTCACTATTGAGGCATATATAAACGTTCTCATTACACTAATTGTAAACATTACGCGAAAATCACATTTACACGTGTCATAGCAGAGCTCAAAATTATATCATCCAACGCAATAAACAATCCAGGAAAGCCAAATAATATCCTAAAGCATATTCAAAATCTACAAATCTAACAAATCATCTAGCTACATTGCAATAACAATAAGAGGTATAATAACAAAACTAAAATAACCAGGCAAAATAATATCAGTTTTTCAATTCATAACATAACACGGCCACTGGAAATAACCCTCACATCTTACAATCACGAGAAACACCGAAGAAACATGTGCTCATTGGTGTAAGTATCATTCGACATCTCCGAATTTTTCCTCAGCTATTCCTTGGAAGTCGCTTGACCGATTTTGGTGGCGAAAATATTTTTCAAACGTCGACTTTCCAAGAGATTTGCTTCCAACTTATTCTGTACACTCCACTCCCATAGACGACTCAATGAAGCTTTATCGTTCCGCGCCACTGAAAACAATCAATGAAAATGAATGAACAGTTTAAGAAGCATGAACAGTTTAAATTTCAAGCGTATGGTCAGAGAGGGACGACAGAAGGTTTGAATAATAATGCAATGCTGACTCTCTAAAAATGATACTAATAATAACAATACAGCAATTAACTTACCAGCTAAATCCACCCAACACCTTTGCACAATCAATGCCAGTACATGCAATTGCTCGACATCCGCTTTATGTTTTTTCGTTTTCCTTTTCCACGCTGAACGATTCTTATGTCGTTTCGCCGAAAACATGCGATTAGCTATGAATTCACCAATGCTTTTACTGCATCCATCATCGCCTCCATCTCCTATGTGCCTCACAGAATCACCCGATTCGGTATCGTGCATCTGTTGCTTTTCAACGCAGCCATTCTGATCCTGCTGTTCAGTGATTTTCGGAGAACGCTTTCTACGCACCGGATGCATACATTCACTTACGTGTGTAGCAAATTTTTCGATATTTGTGAGAGAAATCGAATTCTGCAATCAAACAAATAAATTCACACTAAATATCGGCTGAATTATATACTATCCGACGAGAAATAAAATGAAAATTCATCAAAAATGATGCAGTAAATACCTCCTCGGTCATGCCATCTTTCACCATGCGATTCAACGGATCGCGAAAGTAGTTGCCGGGTATCGATAACTGCAAA